TTTTTTTTTGCTCGAGCTAATCTCTCTTATTCTGTTAATCACTGGGAAATTCTTGAACTTAAAGCGCTGATATGCTTGAACACCTTTGTAATAAAAGGTTTATTGGACAGAATTTTTGCTGTTTGTTGTTTATCGCAGTCATAGAACTGTTTCAAATCTTTACTGTAGTGTTCATTTGTGATGAGAAATGGAGCTGTGTTTCGTGTATTTGTGAAGCATTGAAATGAGAGGTCAAGAAGTGGATTTTCTTTGAAATTGACGGGATATTTAGTGGAACGGGTTATTTCTCCAAAGTGCCAATGAGAAGGATTTTGATACTGTAATGTCGTGTTGTACGTGCTCGTCGTTTGACAGTCTTTCGTCGTCGCAACCAGGGAGGTGTAGTTATAGTGAGAAAGATTAGGTTGAGGATGATTACGGTAGTTGGTACTTATGTTGTAATCAGCCACTTGTGATCGTGGCCTCAAAACGTACCTAAGACAAAGGGTTTTTGAACTAAGCTCATTGTACAGGCGTTTATTTGAAGTCCGGTTTTTAACTATGCGGGTGCTAGGTGGTGTAGGCATCATTTTTTCTGCAGGAAAATGTTGTCATGTCGACTTTTAGCAGTAACATTTCCGTATTCGGCTAGGGATTCTTTCATTTTATGGAAAACTTCTACAAGTTGGAGGCACGACGGATGTTGGATGTCGAAATGACTGCTAATTAATTTGAATAATACAAGGAGCTTTCAACTGCTCTGCTGTATATCTACATCGCGGTTAGTAAGCGGGATTATACGTAAGTTAAGTTTCTTAGATCTTTGGATTTTTGCTCGTTAAGTAGTGACGGCGCAATTTCTTTACAATACAACTGTTATTGAAGTACTGTAAGTAGGGCTAAAAAAATTTCTTGAATGTTTAGCTATAAATATAATTGAATTATTAATTTCAAAAAAGATAGAACACATTTTACCTGTAGCAGCAAGTTGATGAGATCTATCAGCAGCTCGAACAGATGCTTGAACGGTGTTCTGTCCGGACTGGAGTGGTTGAAATTTGATTTTTTCTTGATAGCTACGCGAGTAGCAAAATTCACCACGCGTACTGAAGTAATGTTAAAGTCTAACTATTATCTGATACTAGTATATAGCGCACAAATTTGGGGTTAAGGTTTCCTAAATCTTAGTAAGACTTGTTCATGTTGATTTAACGGTCTGTCATTTTTTTGATTTGTTATTTCTTTGTTGTCGTTTTGATTTAATAGAACTGGGCCAGAGCGCAAAAAATGATAAAAAAGGTTTACTTACAAGATAATTTCTTCAATACTGCCATCAATATTCTTTTCAGTCCGAACCCAAAGGATACTCGTTATCATCAAATTGAGCAACACCAGTTAGTAACTGCATATCTAAAAAAATTTTTTATTTGCA